AAGATTGTCCAGGCCCTTGGTTAAAAAAGCTTTGAAAATCCCCAGGGATGGAGATTCCACAGCCTCTTTTAAAGAAGGTCTTCATCTTCCTTTTGTTATGAAGAAAATTTCGTTATAGCTAGCTGGAATTTCCTTTGCTGCAATTTCTGACTATTGGCTCCCGTCCTTTCACGTGCGCCTCTGGAACAGGTGGAGCTCTGCAAGCCCTCTGTAGGTAGCAGAAGACAGCAGTTAGCTCTCCCATTTGGAAGCAGAAAAAAGTCTGCTCCTCCACTGGACTTTTCCCTTTTGAGTATATTTCTTGTGTTGTTTGTGGGGCCCAAAACTAGTCTTGGTATTCCAGATGTATCCTCACGATGCCGAGCAGAAAGCACTTCCCTTGCCTGCTGGCTATGCTGTTGCTGATGCAGCTGGGTATGTGGTTTGTCTGCATTGCTGCAAGGACATACTGCTGACTCATGTTCAGGTTCTCCCTCAGATCATTTTCTACAAAGCAGCAATACAGACAGACAGTTCCCAGCCTATTGCAATGCATGAGCTTATTCCCTCCCACATACATGGGTGTTTTTGTCTCTGATACAAGAAAAGTTCTTATTCTGGCTTCTGGTTCACAGCTAAATTGCCATATACTTTGAGAAAGAAAAAAAGCATCAAAACTTAAACAGACATCATTATAAACATTAATTTACTTTCTGTTGAGGATTTCACACTTATTAGAATTACAAGTACATCATAGCAAAGATATTTTTACATAAAAGGGTGTTGATAGCACTTGATTTTGGCTATGTGGCCAGGCAATAAGAAGGGCCGTTGGGGTGTACAACTTTGTACAGCACATTATAAATATTAGATATTCTGCACTGTTTGGATGGAAATGGACCATGGCTAAAGTATCCCATTTGATGTAAACAACAATTTTTTCTTAAGAATTGCTACAGGTGCCAAGAAATTAATTCACTGTTAGCACTATTGCAAGGGCTTAATTAATTAATTCACTGTTGCCACACTTATCAGGGAAAGATTATGAATATCAAGGGGATTTTTTTTTTTTAACTAAACATACTCTTGGTTGGCTGTTGTTTACAAAGGTTGGCTGTAGACAGATCCAAGCATGTAAGTTCTTGGACCTCTTCTCGTTGAAGGGGCAGCTTCCTCCTTGCACTGTGTTTCTTGGCAGAATTCTATTATGCAGCCTCCTAGAGAGTATCAATAGAAAGTTGTTCTGCTAGGAATTCATACAAATGTGATTATCCAATAATTGAAACAAGGATTAAAAATTCCTCTATATGTGTTATTTTTAATTTTTTATTCATTATGTATCCATTTATCTCATCATTGCATTTATCATGACTGCACTGACGTGTCCTCTGCTGTAAATTAATAGAATGACATTTGCACTTTGAGATAAGGGCATGCTAACAGATGGATGAAAAGAAACTAAGTTTCTTTTGAATATATGACCGTTGTTCAGCCAGCTATTTAAAACCAGAAGAGGGCCAAATTCTACCCTAGTTATGATCTTGCTGTATGAGAACTTCAATATTGTCACAAGATTTTCCTCTGTGTGTATGTGGAGGGGGAACTGTTTTCATACAGAATATTAGTCCTGAAAGAAATAAACATTCTATTTACACATATAGAAGAGATTTCAAGTCTTCCAGGAAGTCTGTTTGAAAACTATTTACAGTATTAGTATGCAAATTATATACTACACAATAAATGGGAATCTTGCAGCAGAGCACTCTGACAGGCATCTCACTATTTGAACTATGGTAGTCCAGTTAAAAAAGCAATACAAAAAGAAAACACAGCTGGATATAATTGTATCCAAACACATACTTATTATGTTAATGAGGGCATACAAATAAAATTAAATGTTGTCCAGCAAAGGTTTTCCCACAAAGACGCTGAGTTATTTTAGCAAAATGTTCAAATAATGCAAGCTTTTGTTTTTGTTTTAACTGAAAAGATGTTTGATATTTATTCCTAAAAATTGACAGATGAAGTATGAAACCAATAAATCCCATCTCATATCAAAGATCATGTTGATAAATACTCTTCAGTTGAGATGAAAACATGAATTGTGGCCCCAATTACATTAGGTACTTCCAGTGATATAATTTAAATCAAATTATGATTAGGTATTGTATTGTGGTAGTGATATATGTCTTAAACTCCTGTTGTTGTCAGAGTAGTGATACACCCTTTAGCTGCCTTCCCTTTTGCACCGAGACTTCCCTGTCTGTACCTTCCTGCTGCTGCTCTCCTGCATGCTCCCTTCAGTCACACCTTGGTCCGGTTTCTACCTTCACAGCCATTTGCGAGTGCCCCTGCTGATGTACACCACAGCAGCTTTACTTCAGTGTGAGAGGTTTTAAACAGCCACGTGTCAGTAAGAATCCACTAGATGCTGTAGAGGGTCAGTACTGGACTGGTTCTCTTTCCAACCAGCAAAAGCTTTGCCCTTGTTTCATTCCTAAAAATCTCCCAGAATTTCTTGGTTTGTCCCTCACATCAATCTGCGCAGCTCTGGCATGTAAGTTACCTGGGCAAGGTGCTAGATCTGTTCATACCAATTTACTGCTAGTGGACTTGAAATCCGTGAAAAGAAATGGCTTTGGATGAGGTTTATGCCCTTTTTATTTTTGCTTTTTTTCCCCCTCTCCATTTTTAGGACATGATTTTAACAACCTGCAACTGAAAACTGAACAAACAACAGTTTGTGCTTTATGTAACTGTGCCTGCTCCTCCAAAAGGCTGCATTCGAGGGCTGCAGATATCATTAAAAGCCCATGTCTTCTTCACTGCCAGCTGCTGCCATAACCCTAAAGTAGATGCATTGTTTTCTTTTTAACTTTATATCTCAGTATACTGCTCTGTGAAATTGCTTTCTGCCTTTAAATCGACCACCGTACAGAACTGTGTATTTTTCAACCTGTCATTGTCTTTGAGAGTTACAAGTTATTCTGAGTTAAAAAACTACCATTCCTGTTCACTGACACAAAGTGTACCTTCCCAAATCTAGCTCAATACATGTCAGATTCAGTCTTGAGATTATTATCCAAGTGCCTATTTTCATTCTTAGTGGTAAGGAACTGTTTATACTGCAAATGTAATATGAACAAACACACATTAATGTACCACTTTAAAATAAAAACTTATTTATTAATTTAAAAAACATACTAGATTAAAAAAAACAGACTATTATTTAAAATATTTTCCAGAGGCAAAATAGCATTGACCTGTTAAATTCAATGTATTTCCTTTTTGGCTCTTCCTATATAAGAAATGTTTAAAATTTTTGTCTGTGAAGATTTACAGCCACATCAAGGACTTAACATTATGATAAGAAGACAAAGCTTGTATCATCAGGGTGATAATAAATCCAGCTTGGGTGTCTGGCAAGTAAATTCTACATCTAGTTACTCCTACTAAAAATACCCAACCTACTTTCAATAAAAATCTGCTCCTGCTGGAGAGCAAATTTGGTACTTCCCACTCTCAGTGGCAAATGTAATCCGTCTATAATCAATAGCTAACACTCACCAGAGAGCATAACACTTATTATGAGTTGTTTCCAGCAATGGGTAAGCCAGAAAGGACTGTAGTGGGTTAACCTTGGCTGGATGCCCGGTGCCCACCAGGCCCCTCTATCACTCCCCCTTCAGCAAAATAAAGGGGGAGAATAAGATGAAACCAGTTTAATTAAAGCAAAGGCCAAGGCCATGCACAGAAACAAAAGGTAAACAAAGATGTTATTCTCTACTTCCCCTCAGTAAGTGATGTCTGGCCACTTCCCAGGAAAGTAGAGCTTCAGTGTGTGCAGCAGCTGCTCCTGGAGACAAACACAGCAACAAATGCCCCCTCCTCCTCCCTGCCCTTGGCTGTTATGGCTGAGCTGAGGTCACATGGTATGGAACAGCCAATCCGGGTCAGCTGTCCCGGCTCCGCCCCCTCCCAAGCTGTGTTACACACACCCTGCTGGCTGCCAGGGTCACACTCAGCACTGGGAGGATGCTGTGGGGATACTGGCTCCATCTCAGCCTGACCCCATACAGTAAGGAACCAATTTCTGCCCAGAGTGACTACTTGGAGGGAAGTGTCAAAGGAAGATGAATTAGGTGAAACTAGAGGTCTTTTGTCCTTCGGGATGCTACAGAGTTGTGAGAATTAATATTTGAAGGCCAAATGAGATGTGCTGAGAGTTGTTCTGTTTAGATTTCCAGTCTTCTGGTTAGGCTGCTGAAGCATTGTGGTTTGTGTTTTAATTTCTTTTCTGAAGAAACAAATTCAATTTTGGTACGTTATTAATTTTTTTTTTTAAGAAGATCATCTTTTAAAAAGTGACACAAAACTAGATGCTCCTGAAGGAGCCTGGGGTTCATAGCTGAGGTGGGTATTGTGTATTCTATTTATTTTGTCTTGTTAGGTCAACCATGCTTCTTAGAGGGACAGCTAGAATGCATGTTGTATGGCTTCCTTGGCAAAACTGAAGTAGAAACATATGATTTGTTTCTGTTATCTTGAGAATTTTTTTATTTCAAAGTCACGATGTCATGAGTGCTAAGCACATAGTCTACAGTGTCTCACTCCAAAATTCCCAAATACTGCCAATAGCAATTTAATTTGAATTTGTACCTGCCTGTGTGACACATGGGTCTTAATATGCATTTAGATATTTTCTGCTTCTCTATATGTTGCTTTCAGTACTTGCAACATAAAGGTATACAGTAAAACTTGTCCTAAAAACCATCATAGGGTCCAGCAAACAAGGCTGAATCTCTTATGATAAGCCAGACAAAATGGTACTTGAGATGCTTCCTTAGAGTCTCTGTTATTTAGGTTTTAAGGACTATTGCAGAAGGACATCAAGTTATTATATGCCTCTAGTTATTTATTTTCTTAGCCTTATAAGCTGAAGAGGAGTATATCAATGAAAGTAGTATGGAGTTTCTTCACAGATTCTATCCTTGTGTTTTCCTTTCTTTTTCTTGTAATAGCCTGGATGTGTAAACACTACTGAAGTGGATATAAAAAAATCTTCAAGAATGAGAAATCCACATAAAACAAGAAAGGTAAGTACTGTTATTATATCAAAAGTGGGAGGTGGAGGTAATTTATAGCATGAAGTTCTGTCATTTCTTAAAACAGTTTTTTTCTTATAGTGGCTACGAACAAATACATGAATGCATGTTATTATTTCTTAAGCTCTTAAATGAATTAGTAATAACAAATTTGCTAATACTAAGTAAATGCTATTACATAAGAAATACACAGAGAATATGAAAATAATATAAAATTACTAAAATACATCAATAAAGCATGAAAAATTAGAGTGAATAAGAAGTGTTAAAATGTTTCTGTCAGTAATTAAGAAAAAATAAATTAAAATTGTAGTGTAAAATATAACAGCAGTACTTCTTGTGCTGGTCCTAAGGAAAGGGGTGTCTCTAGTTTACAATTATGCCCCAACTGGAGGACCAAAAATTGTGGAGGAAATTAGATTCATCTAAATTAGGACCCAGACATGAACAGTGTAAGTTCTCTAGGGATGTATAGATGGATTGGAACAAAACTTTCAAATTCTTTGTATCCCAGTAACATAGATTGACTGCAACTTTAAAGTACTCCCTTTGGGGTATACTTTCATGTCAACCCATGGAAAAATGTTTTAAAAGGAAAGTGTATTTAGAGAAAGTTTTATCTTAGCTTATTTATAGCAGTGAAAGGTCTAGATTAATTTAGCAAGCAGTAATTGCAAATTTGTGAATCATCCAAATAATCCATTGTGATACTCTACCTTCCAGGATACTGTTTCTTCTTTTCCTACCATTCATCTCTACTTACTGTAAGAGTAATAGCTGCCTTTCGGTGTCATCTCCCATGTTTACTGTGCTGTTAATATAGAGGCATAATAAAAGCAGATCCTGTGTTCTATGACATTATAAAATTGTGGGGGTTTGGGAGTCTTTATTTTACTTCATGGTATACAAGCACAATTTTATCTGAGTGCATGGCTTATTTGTGGTTTCTTTAGAAAAAGATTATCTTGGCTAACTTCTTGAGCACACTGTACAAGACCATCACATTTACTATGGGTATGCCTAGAAAGCATTGTCTAAAAGCAACTGTCATTGTTCCATATTTTTTGTGTAGTCTGTCTATGGCTTACAAAATGACATTCGAAGTCACAGCCCTACCCACACACCAGTGCCAGAGACTAAGCCACCCACAGAAGATGAACTACACCAAGAGGTTTGAAAAATAACTACAAACATGTATTTTTAAATAAACTTTTTGGTAAAGTAGGTATTAAACAAAAAGTTGTCATAACTGGGAAGTATGTTCAGAACAGATTTAGCAAACATTGAGTAAAATTTTTACTTGTTTTAGAATATATGAATGTAGGTGTGTAACTTCTCTTAAAACTAATGAGACAAAACCTGACATTTTTTGTTTCGTGCATTAAACTGTTAAAGGTAGTTAGCAGCAGGCCAGTTAGTGGGTTCTTCACATAGCTAATCCCATTAACCCCTTTAGCAGTAGACAGCGAGCTCTTTCTTTCAACACTGATTCAAGGTTTGGGGGTATACCTACCTCTCCATGTATGCATGTATGGGTTCACACATTTATCTGCTGTTTATGATTCATTAATCTTTCCTGAGGTGTTAGAACTGGGAGAAGATAAATGTCTGAAGAATTAGTAATTCTCTTCAAAAATTAAAAAAAAAAAAAAAGGTAATAGGGTTTGTATTGATGAACCTTTTGGGAAAATGTTATATTCAGTCCTTTTTTTGTCTCTGTATCATCTTTTCTCTTTGATGGAAAATTCCGTTTATTTTAGAATTGCACTGGTGAAATGTTGTTTTAACTCAGATGTATTTCTCATCTTTGCCCGAGGTTAAATTAAGGTTAAATTATAGCCCTAATAGAGAAGTTATGGAAATAGAGTCAAGAAATTAATTACTCATAACCCTCTTTGCCTTTCTTTCTTGCAGATAAAGCACTGGCAAATGCAATTAGACAGACATAGATTAAAAATGTCAAAAGTTGCAGAGAGGTAAGTATATTGTCACATCTTCTGGTTTTTCAATTAGACTGATAACTATTGGGAATATGTCAGTATGAAATAGCTTCAAAGAAAGAGAGACAATGGAGCTCAGCTGTCATAGAAATAACTGATGAGAGTTTACTTCAAGTGGTAGGTATGAAGTTCTTTTATTGATAAAAGATGACCCAGATATTCCAGGATACATTTCTGATAAACCCAAGAGTCAGAGAAAAGATCCTCTGACGATGTGGTCACAAGTTTCACCTTGCAGGGGCAGGGAGGCTAAATGGAAATAGGTCTGGGGTCACTGTTTTGATATTTCAAAAGGGCGATTGCTGACAAAGCGAGGGAACTGGTCAGCAGAGCTAGCTGGGTGAGGAGCTCGGGGCTTGAGCAGTGAGTCTGAGCTTACTTCAAGTCAGAGGATGCAATGCTAGTGGAATCTTTCTCTGAATAAGACCAATTTTTTGTCAGGAAGGGGCTAGAAAGCAAAAAAACCAAAAAGCCCCTTGGAAAGACTAGCTACAGGTTAGATAGAGAAGGGATAGAGAAAGGGAATGGTCTATCTTACACATCAAATATAGAGATAAAATTGCAGAAAATTGAGCTGCATAAAACTTAGTAAGGGAAATTAAGGCAAATACAGTTTGCCATCCTCTCATATATGTTTGTGCATGTGTGTCTACTTATATATGTGTATATGTGCATACACATGCAAACACATATAAATACATATCTATAAAGAGAACAGGTTAAGAATTTGTGTTTGCTGAACAGTAAAAATAGAATACAGACTAAATATAAATAGAAATGAATAGAAAGAATATTTGTACTTGCTTAATTTTTTAATAATTGAGGTGAAAGGAAACATGGAAAGCAGGAATAAGGGAATGGGACATGTAAATTACCCAAACACAAGCGAAGCTTTTAGTGTGTTCAACTGAATCAGACCAATTAATGAATACTGAAGAATTTAGTTTAAAAATTTTGGGTTTTTTTGGAAAGGGATAGGCTTGGGAGTAGTGCCATTTGATGATGACATAATAAAAATATTAACTGTGTTTAAAAGAGGAAAAAAGGAGTCCCAGCCTCTTCAGGGACATTAAATATGACCTGAATACCATGCAGTGTTTTAGAACAGATTTTTAAAGGAAATGAGAATTAAAAATGTAGCGGTATAAAACTTGTTCCTTTATGAAAGCAAATGTGCATGGAAGAGGTTGCTTGATTTAATTTATTAGTGCCTAACGGAGCCCTAAAAGGAGCTATGTGTAAGTATTAGGGAAATTTGTAGTTCATTTTGTTTTGGTTCTTTGTAACACCTGAGCCAACCCTCCTTGAGGGCTCCCTTTTAGAAGGCTTGAGCAAGCCTATTTTAGCCTGAGCTTATTGCTGACTTCTGAGTGTGTGCACATGCGGATACCGTGGTTCAGTTAATGCAAGGTAACTTGTTAGCTGGGGTAACCTGATCAGCTTTCCTCATCTCCTGACATTGCAATATTTGATGCTTTTGTTTTCCTAGTCTATTAGCTTATACAGATCAGTATTTGGAATATGATCCTTTTCTTGTGCCCCCTGATCCCTCAAACCCTTGGATATCAGACGACACCACCTTCTGGGAACTGGAGGCAAGGTATATAACTTTATTTCTTCTTTTGGGGAAAGGGGGTATAACAGGCTCTTCTTGAAATGTGAAGATTTGAAACAGAGGTATTGCAGGAAAATCCTGAGGCAGAATGGCAGCATGGTATCCTTTTGGTTGTTCCAGCTTTAGAGTTTTGTAAGATAGGAAGAGCCATGGACTAATAAATCTGTGTAAAAAGTTACAATAACCAGTTCCCAGGGTTCCAGCATGGGGAAAAAAGACACCTTTTAAAACCTGATAACATTTCCTAGTTGGAAGTCCTTATTCCTCTGTGTAAATGCATGCATATTTCCTTCATCCTGTATAAGCACTAACAACCAGGTTGCTCATCTCTGAACACTGCACAGATATGAGCAATCTGGAAGGTGAGAAATCTGTGGTTGGTTGAGCTTTAGGACTTAGTCTAAGTTATGAACACAGAGTATTAGAATGCTGAAGTACTGCTGATTGTAATTTCTGTTCTTTCTTCTGTAGCAAAGAGCCAGGACAGCAGAGGGTGAAACGATGGGGGTTTGGCATGGATGAAGCTTTGAAAGACCCTGTGGGAAGAGAGCAGTTTCTCAAATTCCTGGAGTCAGAATTCAGTTCAGAAAATTTAAGGTAAACGAGAGGGACTTTTTTAATATCTTGTAAGATACAGTGGAGGTTTTTTCTTATTTTGTCTGATACCTTTCTTTTCATTTTTTGACCCCTTCAAAATTTTCCTGTGTCCTACCTTTCAGAATCCATTCATGCAGATTGCTGCCTGCTCCCATATTCAGGCGGAGGGAAAGATTGATATAGTTAGCAGTGACACACCTAAAGCATGTTTTCCCATTCATGCGCAACTTTTGATCAAACTACCAATGTAAGAGCTTTTCTCTCATCTCATTTTATTAAACAGGTTTAAATTAGTGACCCATTGAAAGCCTGTTCAGCATCTTTTCTTAAGTCCAATGTTATGAGAACAATAAAATTTAAAAAGATAATTTGTTAAAAAATAAGGGATTTTAAAGTAAAAGTCACAGACTTTCACTGTTGGTCAGGTTTCTGGGGATCATTGGTCTTTTGAAAATTTCCATTAAGATTGTAGTACTTGTGGACCTGACACAACAAAGGTAGTGTGACAGCCATTCTCAAATTCCTCACGAATTGCAAAATGGAAAGGTGCTGCTAGTGTATGAAGCTTAAATTTATTTTTTTTAAAAAGCATATATATATAATTACTTTTAAGTGAGGTAGGAATAATTATTTGATTTTTAAAAATTATAGTCCATCCATTGGCTAGTATTATGTTTTGGTGTTGCTGTTCTAAGGAAGTCATATTTTGGCAAGAAAAATTTCAGAGGGATTAATAACAGCCTTTCTATAGATAAGTCAAATGGTACATGGTACAAAAACTTATACAATGTATTTTTCTCTTTATTCCACCTTCTTGTCAGATGTCATCTGCATCACTTCCCATTCACCAATAGCATAAGGAATATAAAATCCTATTTGCACATATTCTAGAACTCAGAAAACTCCTAAAGTACTTTTTTTGGTTTTTTTGTTTTTTTTTTTTCTGCAACAGTTCTCACTCCAAAGTGGTGCAGCACAGCCATTCATTCTAGAGTTACATTTATGTAGCACCTTAAAAGAAGCATTTCACATTTTGTGGTGTTGATCCATATGGCCTGACCTGTAGGTGTATGTTCATAATTTCATTAGTGCCAGACAGATTTTTTTTTTTTTACTAAAAATCCAAAGAAATTTTGAAAACCAGAATAATACAAAGAAAAGGAAAGACTTTTTTATTTAAAGAATAACTTAGTAATTCCTTATGCAAAGCAGCTGTTCAAACATGAAACTGTCCAGCCCAGTGTGTGCTGCATTTTCTATGTTTTTCTATGATTAATTTGTCTCTCTGCCAATTAGACTGTTACCCGCATAATCTCTGGCTCTTTCTTCTAATCCTATTTACAACACTAACCATGGGCAAACTGCAAGTGACTGATCCAGAAAAATTCCCTGGAGAAATTTGTTCAGAGCTGATTCCTTGACATGACATCTACTCTTATCTCTCTCTCTCTAGATTCTTATATCGGCATTATAAAATATAAATCTGAGCAATGGTGAATATGAGTTTAAAAGTTGTCCCTGGGAAGGATCAGGCAGAGGATCAAACTTGCACTGAAAAGGTGCTTTCTCTGATGATTAACTGAAGGAAAACTGTCTCACCATCTCAGAATTCTGTTTATGAATTCTCAGCCTGTGGGGAAATCAATCTGCTGATAGGCTCGCACAGTGAAGTCAGATTAGAGAGCATGAATTTGTAAAGCTTGTGTATGGGAGTCAAAATGTGATGGCTCTCAGTAACAGAAATTAAAAGCTTGATGGTTTCAAGCATTACTGCTGAATAAACCCTAAATTTAAAAATCACTAATTGTTTTCCTTGCCTGCTAACCCCACTGTGACAATTTAGAGATTCAGTATTAGTTGACTAGAAGTCTTACACTTCATTTTGTTGAAAGAAATGCCAAAAATGTAAAGTGGTAAATCTACCAGAGACACCATTTCTGTTCAAGTGGGATTATTTTATGTAGCTAAAAGTCCCAGTGTTAGTATTTCATTAGCTTGGACTGAGAGTGTCTAAAATGGCTGAGAATCTCATCCTTAGTGGATATAGATCCTGTCTTAAGAAACAGAACAGGGATGAAGAAATTTGAGCTGTGAGTTAAAACTAAGAACTGTGCAATGATTAGGACTGTAACCAGGTTTCACCTTCTTACTCTCAATCTCTGTGCTTTTTTCTTTGTCTGTAAATTGGGATTAATAGTATATAGTAGCACTCTCTAAAGGGGTATTGTAAAGCATAGCAAAGGAACAAAACTGTCTAAGCAGTTCTGCAGTGAGGTAGCTTCATTACAGTGTGATTGCAGTTTGCAAACGCCCAGGTTGGATTCTGTATTCACCTAACACAGGCTATTACTTGCAATCTTGTTACCCTTCAGATTTTTTTGGAGGGATTGCTTTGCATGCTGCTCACTACACAGAACAAATAGCTAAAGTAACATATGATTTGGATAATAGATTTATAAAATTCCCACTGCCTATTAGAAAACTGGTGACCATTGTATAAAATTCACAAGACTTAAGTTTGAGCATGATCCAGTACTACTGAGCTTGGTCACAAGGCTGTCCAAGCACTGAAAAAGGGCTTTTCAAAGAGAGTGAGACAGTGAAATGAATCCTAGTGCATTGTGGCACCTAGAGACCTAATTTCTTTCATCTCTGTAGAAAATCCCCATTCCTCTCCATATCCTTTTGTCTGTAGATCTGCAGAATTCTTTGGAAAGTAAACATTCATATGTTGACTACAGTTGCTTCCAAGTCATTGTTTTGTAGGAATTACAGCCCGTGAAGATGTAAATGGTTTCAGACCTGCCTATTTGCTTTTGCTGAAAATGCTCAAAGGTCTGTCCTCCAACATGTTGTATCACATGCACTGGGTGTAAAACCCATATAATTCCCACTTCGCTGTCTCCACACTCTGTCTCAACCTCACATGTTTTGTGGAGCATCACTGCAGACTTTCTCTTGTTCCTATGTACTAAATGTAACTGATTAGCTTGATCTGGGATCTACTGATGGCTGCATCTGACATTTAGGTCAGTTAATGGGACAGAAGCCTGTGCTATTTATCTGGCAAGGCCACCCTCACTTTGAAAGTAATCCATCTGGAGGACGTAATCCCCAGATGTCTTGCAACATGTATCTTGCCATGTCATGTGGCTGGGTGTATGACTATCATATGCTATACATTCTCACTCAGCTACACATCTGGTGTGTTACCCAGCTGCGACAGAACACAGCAGCAAGTTTTATGCCCAGCTACTCAGGTCTCTGTTCAAACGGTACTGAGTATCTTCTGGAGAGGGTCTCCATGGCAAAAGCAAACCTCTACCAACAGGAGATACAGATTTTCATTTAAGGGCAGAGATTGAGCTCTAGTTTTTTCCATGAAGCAGCACTAAGTCTGTTTATATCATTGTCCAGCAAATGCAGGTGGGTTGGTTCCCCCTCTCCCCTCTCCTGCCCTTGCACACATTTACAGTTGAACTTTGCATGCTGTTTGCTAGAGGAGTCCTCCCTTGCTCTGGTCACAGCTCATGAGGCAGAGAGCTCTTTTGATTTGAGGCCCTGTGCTGAGGTCTTGCAGATTCCATTTTAACTTCATCTGTGCTATTGGTTGCCATGGGATATTTGAAAAAGTTATTTTTGAAAATGCAAGAGGTGGCAGCCTTATTTTTGGCATTTCCTAACTTTGCATATTTGACTTTAACTCTCTGTGGGAGGCATTTTTTCCTGAAAGATCAGTAAGGAGATTAAAATGTTAAAATGTGTTGGTTGTGAAGTAAGCGCCCTAGACACAACATACTGCAGAAATCAGCATTTTCTTCCCACTTTTACAGAGGTTTTTGTATTTAGAGCCTCACATTTTCAATAGGGGTTTTGAATGCTAATATTAGAAGGGTAAAATAAAATCTATCAAAGACCTGGTGTTCAGCCTGTAAGAATGTGTCTGTACAACCTGCCTATTCTATGCTGGAAGCTGAAAGTTTCCTCAAAGAAGTTAAATTTATCTCCCATCTATTTCCCCATAATTGAGTATAACCTACTATAAGGAACCAGTTTACCTGCAAAAGAAAATAGCATCCTAAGGCATGTTTGTGGTGACTTCCATAATTATTGGCAGTGATATAATGGAACAAACAAGAATGTGACAGCTTTGAGCTAGATCTTCAGGATGTCTGCAGGGTGATAGAAAATGTGTGTTTACAAAGAACATCCTTCCCTTTCATTTTTCTATTCCTTACCTGACTTCAATACACATGAATAATCAGTCAGTCCCAGAAGATGCATTTGAAGGGGTTAGTGCTGCAGGATATACACTTTTAAATGCAAATATCAAAAGTAGCTTAAGGAAACCAAAGTAGGTTGCCCAAATTTGACAGCGTGAACTGAATTAGAGTTTGTGAGCTGTGCAGTTTTTAAACTTAAGTTATGAGGCCTCTATTGATGCATTTCCATCAGATTCTCAGGATACATCCTCAGGCTCTGTGCAGATCTATGCTCAATTCACACTGAAGTTCATAGAGATACATGATGTAAACCAGAATTTTTGAAACTGAAGTTCTTCTGTTGGCACAGACTCCCTTTGTGACCTTGGAGAAAACACTGTATATTATTATATTATTAATACATTTGCAAAACTGGGACAATATTCCTTCTCTGTCTCCTGGAGAATCTTAAGGCATCAATAGACAAAAAGTTTCTGCTTAGATACTGCAGAAATTGAAGGGTGTAAAAATACCTAAAACAGTCAACTCAGTAGAGTGGAGCTTACCATAATGGCTTGTGAGTGATGAGCATGGGCTCCTTTCGTCTGTGCTACAAAGGGATTTCAAAACAGGACTATGAAGGATTCATTGCTTCCTGGAAGGTAAACCATCTCAAGTGAAGAATGTCTTACAGGGGGAATATTCTAAGGTTTTCTTTGCTGTGCTTTACTATCCTCTCTTAAGAGTTGCAATAACTGTATTAGAAGTTGGATGGAGGGTCGTAACATTTTGCTTTCCTGGGGTTTCTGAGTACAGCTCTACTGTTCCTCTCCCCTATCCCATCCCTGTTTCACAAAACTAAGAGAGCTCACTTTGATCTCACAGTGATCCACATTCTAAAGGTGCATCCAAATTATTTGTGAGTCTTGTGAAATACAACTTATTTCACAGTTAACTCACTGCACGGTTCAGCTTATCTGTTTCCTAGGATCAGCCGTGTCAAAACAATAATGAAAATTTGTGATGGCATGCATTGTTTATTTAACAAAGTCAAACCTTAGTTGAGCTGTCGGGGTGGGGAGAATGAAGTGGTCTGCACCATGTCTAAGGATGGGATCCTACTTGAATTTAGAATTACTTTGTGTAGTCAGAGTTTGAACACCCATAGAAGAAATAATGATAAAGCAATCAAAATAGCAAATGAAAAGTGGATATTAAAGCTCATAGCTAGTTAGCTGTGATCACAAAGTGCTCAAGACCTTTTCAGTGATCCTGCTCCAGGCTGAGTGAGAAGGATACAATGAACTGGCCTGCAGTGTATGTGGCTGCCCAATATTGGTTTGCTCAGCAGAAGAAAAGAAGAGAGAATGGGTACTTCCATTCAGCATTTTAGTAAAAATATGCAGAGAAATGACATGATGAAGTAAGAAATTAAATTATAGCAGGCAAAATGAAGAGTGTGAGCATTTCATTAATGATTATACTGAATTGTAAGTCAAAATGCTCTATTGTGCCATAGGTTCTGGTTAGCAGTAGAAGACCTGAAGAAGAGGCCTATCCGTGAAGTTCCTGCTCGTGTTCAAGAAATCTGGCAAGAATTTCTTGCTCCAGGTGCACCCAGCGCGATCAATCTAGATTCAAAAAGTTATGACAAAACCACGCAGAATGTAAAGGACCCTGGAAGATACACATTTGAAGATGCTCAGGTCAGTTTGCAATTCTGTTTAGGGATATTTGAAATAGAATATTGGCTACTGAAATCTATACACATAAAATAAGATATACTTGGGAACTAAATGATAATGCTCTGTTTCTTAAAATGCCATTTTGGCAATGCAAATGGGTAACATCCTTTCATGAGGCCTGTGAATTATTAAAGCCCTTCATGAAGCTTCTGAGCTTGGTATAGAGTCTTCAAGTGGTCTTCAAACAGAAAAGCATATAGTGCAGTGAAAATCATATTTTCATGTCCCTGTTTACTTAATTTTTGCCTTCAGTTCCATTAAGAGAAAAGCTTCCCCCCCACACACACACATTGATTTCTAGTTCTCAAGATCTGTCTCTGAAAGACTTCCCTTGATACAGGCTCAATGTCTGTTCTCTCAATGCATGTCCAAAAGTGTTGTTATCATTTACAGGAGTCATAGGTTCCCATCACAAAAGGAATATGACCCATGTGAGAAATAACACTTTGTAATGGCTTGTGCGGAAGTATCATATTTCAGGGATGTTGTATATTCCATACCTTATTAAACTACTATCTACAGAACATTGGGCAAAGATCCTAAAGATGTCCTCTTCAATAATCAATATCACACCAGTAAAGAACAGTCTGTACATGTCTTATTTGGCTTTTGGGGATCTGATTTAGTCACAATTTGAATACCATCATCAAAAGATACTTTTGACCAGAGCTAGATTTGTGAGAATCTTTACATTTTTGAGATTGGAAGTTTAAAAAAACAAACCAAAACAAAATGGTAAAATACACATCTTGGTTTTCCTCAGAAGAAAAAACCAATTACTTCTGTATTAAATGTGACACTCCATGTGTCTTATAACTTAGTATTTCATCTTTGCAGACTTCTGAGAAAAGCAATAGAAAATAATTGGATTCACAGTAAAAGTAGTAGAACTGGTACCATCCTCCCTTTGTCATCAGCAGCCCAGTGATGAAAATTGAATTATTAATGCAAAGTGAAATGGTGTCAAAAGGAGATATTAAGATCATATCCCTGCAGAATTTCCTACAGCTTGATTATTAGGTCATCATCTTGGGAGTCGGGAGGTGCTGTTCCAAGTCCTACAAAGGAGAGGAGGGAATTGAATTGGGGCTTTCTACTTTTTATAAAAGTGACTCTGCCCTAAATAGGAGGGGGAATAATTCTAACACTTTTTCATTTTGCTATTATGAGAACAGCAAGCTATGATGCAACAATAAAGCTTTCATTAGACACTATATCATACCCACCATTTTGAAGTATTCTAAGCCAAACACAGTTTTTGCTTTCATCTGCTGACCCCCTGGAGATTTAGGAATGCAGTGTATAGCAAAGATATAAGTTACACAAATAAACAATCTACCAAGATTAAAGGTTTAAAAAGTCTTTGCAATTGAGTCAGTAAAGCACAATTATATTCCTTGGCAGTATCCAATTATTTTTTTTTAAATAGGTGTGGAATTTCAACACCAGTTTACTTCCAAATGTCTCTTCTCTTTACTTTTTTTCCTCCATTTATGAAAGATATGAAGGATTCAGTCTTTATGCAAGCAGGACTTTTCCTTCTGTCAGACCTCTGCTTATCTGATCCAGTTCAGCATGCAACTTGAACCTGGAAGCCTCCATTTCTCTGGGAAAAGGGGGCAGACTGTACCTGCCATGTTCTGACCTGAAGATTTAGGACTTTTACAGAGTGCCTCACCTGAAGTAGCAGGGTTTTGTCAGGAGCAGGACTCCGCCTCTGCAACAGGCTCTTTATGACCTGACAGTTGGGAAAGAGACCACCTACAAGTCATTATGGTAGTCAGCAGGCCATTTAACTGTGGTTAAAAATGTTTTGAAAAGTATCTCTGTACTGGAAAGATGGCACCACAGATCTCCATGTCAAATGAGAGTGATACAGAACTGAAAATAGACCGATTGTGCTGAATAACATCCAGCCTCAATTCCTGACTAACGTGTACATTAACAGTGCTAATACTGCCCAATTTATTACTGCTTTTACAGGGTTGGTTTTTGCACAGAAATAACATTTTAGTCCCTACCACCATTGTTATGTACAAAAGGAGCAGAGTCATTGTCTGCTTTTGTAGAAACTGGGTGGAATCAAAGCTCTGCAAATGAAACAGCCTAAGTTCTGAATATACACCAGAATTTTTCTGCTTAGTGCAAGAAATACAATGAAAGGCACTTAGAATAATTTCTAGAGTTCTTAATACAACAGAAGTTAAAAATGCTTTAATTTTTCCTCATCATAATTTTCAAGCAAGGTGGTTTATTGGGTTTTCTCTATTCATTAATTTTACACACTACCAAGCTGAGAAAAGTATTTACTTTACAGTTTATTTGTTGTTTGCTGATTGCTGAGCTACAAGTTGCCTGTAGTAAGAGTAAAAAAGACAACAAAAATAGCTAACACAATTCAGTGGATTTTTGAAATTTTTTGAGAGTATTTCCTATTCCAACTGCTTTTTCTACACATCTCTTTCCTAACCTTATAGCGAGAACTAGAATTATAAAGTGTCCTACACCACAGTTTTTTAGTTTTTCACATTTTACAGAAGGGAGAATGCTCCAAAAAGAAAAGCTCTATAAACTACCTGTCATTTGTTTTCTGGATAAGAGCTTCCAAATTTTCATATGCCTCTGAAGAATAAATATCTTGGAAATTAAGTTATCCTGGAACTCTTTTGCAATTTGCATGTGCATTTTCCTTTTATATTTTCAACTGGATAGCAGAATAAACATCTGTCAAAGGATGTTTTCAAGAGCAGCCAGGGGAAATCCTCCCTAACTTAAGGACTTATTTGTGGTGAGTTAGAAACCTAGCACCTTCTACCAGCCTATGAAGTCAGAAAAGCATCTCCAGAAACTAATTCAGAAAATCTGATGAGGAAGGATCCACAGCTCCTGATTTAGTCACCTAGCTAAACTGACTAATGTAAGGAAAGTTTGAAACTGGGCCTTAAGCTAGAACTCAGTTGTAAATTAGAAAACTAATTCCATTGTGGAAATAGGGACTATAAATTAAAGAAAGAGGTTTTGTGGTCTTTATATATAACAAATAGATGGGTTTTTGCTTTAAGAGTAGAGAGCAATTCAGCCCTAGCTTCAGAACTGCAACCTGCTATCTTACAAGACTTCCTGTTCAAAACAGAACTAGATGGTGTACATTCCCCCAACTAAAACACGTGTGACTGCCTCCCATTTGAGGTATGTCTTCTCTTATGGGAGTAACAGCTCCTTCTTTCCCTTTCAGGAGCACATTTACAAACTGATGAAAAGTGATTCTTATCCTCGTTTTATACGATCCAGTGCCTACCAGGAGCTGCTACAGGCCAAGAAAAAGGTATTGGTCCATCTTGCCTTTGTCTTGCCACTGTGCAAAGCGGTGGTTATGTTTGCAACAATACTCAGTCTTCTCTCCCCTGTGCCAGTGCAACTGGATATCTGGTAGGTGACCAGCTTGGCGTGTTTGGAGGGTCACATACACACAGGAGTTCAATATACATATATGTGTATATATCCTGCATGCCGGCATGTTTCAATAAGTTAATCTAGCAAAACTTATTTTTATTTTTACATCCCATATTGTACTGTTTTCTCTGTTATGAAGCACCTTAAATTGCAAAGTGCTTTACAAATACATTAAAAAAATAAAATAAAATCCCAGAAGAATAGTCTTTCATGTTTGCAAGTTTGCTTATGTAATAATTGTTGTTCTCTTTATTCCACCTATAAAAGCTACAAAATGTGTTTAGAAACAATCTTATTCGTATGAATAACTACTAATTTCAACTATAAATATAGGGGCTTCCTAATTCTGTTTCTTTCCGTGTTATTACATGAATAGTTTTGAGGAGGCTAGGAGTCTGACTTGAAAGACTGATCATGTCATAGTTTGGCAAACAGAGGCTCATGTCTTGGTATGTAATATTTGCTTAGAAAAGTCCAGATTATGGAATGAGTTCTGAATAGACACAGCCCAGAGTATATGGAGCAGCTTGTGCAATGCAGATGTCTATAATGATAAATAATTTTATTAGTGGGCTCTAAATTGTGATTTCCTAGAATCAGCTGGGAGCCCCGGGTCTTGCAAAATCAGGGCCCTAATCGTTACTGGAACAAGGTAGTTATTAACACCGTAGCATTCTGTTGTTTATAATGACAACCTAAAATTATATGAAAGTACTGTGTGATTTTGTGTTTTGTTCAAACATTGATTTCTGAAGATCCAATATAGAGAGAGATGTTGAAAATACCAGAAAGCTACAACTGTCCGTGTGATGTCCTTAAGTTTGTGAATGTCAGTTCATTAACACAAGATGTACACTTCATTATTTCTTTTTATTTTCAGTTTTTCTTTTAAATCAAACCAGTTTGATCCCCATGAAAAAAATATTTTTGTTGAATACTGTATCTGCTTTGCCCATCCCCTGTTTTGCAGAGTCCCTGTGTTTGCTTCCTGATTTATACAAACTTTGTTTTGCAGTCCATTGTTTCATCGATCCTTCTTTTCTACTCCATTTTTTCTTGCTTTTCTTTTTCCCCTCCTGTTTCTTTTTGTTTCTTTTTATTTATTTATTTCAAATTTAAGTTGGAAAACACACTGGATCGTCGAACATCTTTTGAGAAATTCACACGCAATGTGGTAAGTTTGTTGCCTCAGAAGACTAGTAAACCTGATGGGACATCCTTTTCCCCTCCCCCTCACTGATCCCTACTTTCCCTTTTTGCTTCTCTAACCTGACAGTTAAAAGCATAATTATCACAGTTTGTGAATTTTCCTACGAATGACAGCTTTATAATGTGCTTTCATTACAACCCCTCCTCCCTAGTCCCTTTCCCACTGACCTCAATAGCCACACATGGAGGAACGAACCTTTGGGAGCCATGCTTTTTGCATTAAGAAGCATGAAATTATTCACTCTTTTTTTTTAATTGTAGCAAAGAGTCTGTGAAAACCTGCGGGATGTTGTTCTTTTTTCTGGTGCCTCCCAAAATACTAAGCCTGACACAATTTAAATACATTGGATTTCCCTCCTGCCTCCTTTTTACTCTACTAAAAAAGAGTTTGACTCTTTTTTTTTTTTTTTTTTTTTTTTAATTTGGCACAGGGAAAAAGAAACAATAATTTCCCCATCTTCCTTAATGTCTAGCACAGCTTCTTCAGGACCAAAGAATTCACGCTGGTGATGTGCAAGGGTTTGATTGGGATTTGAGTTTGATAATGGACTACAAGAACTGATTTTTATATATATATAATTTTGGAGCCGTATTTCACAAATGTAAAAAAATGAAGGCTGGTAAATTTGCTGTGAGCATTCTCTTACCACCTCCCAAAAGATCCACTGATTTCCTGATATGTGGGATTCTTTTGACTTATCCAGTTTCTTTGGATTTTTTTTAACATTGTGAAAGTTCAAACTAAAGCATTCAATGCATTTATTTTTGTAGGGCAGAAACATCCCTATTTTCCCATGCCATAAAAACTGTACACCAACACTGAGGGCGAGCACTAACCTGTTATGAAAAGAGGTAGAAAGATCTTGGATTATACTCAAGTTTGTCTGCATTGTCTGTTGAATTGTGCAGGTGATGCTGCTGTGTGTGCGTGTGCGTCCGTGGCTTTTTCTGTGACCTGGTTAGTGGAGCTGTGTGTGTTGAAATGAAAAACATGAGTGCTTTCAGCAAAGATCATGGTTTTTGTTTTCTAGTTTCTAGGGAAGGAGAAGCAGTTCTCAGAAACTGCCTCCTGTATAATGAGGCTCAAGACTATTTCTTCAAGTATTTAAAATATATATACTTTCTAGTAATCAAAAAATAAACAAATGCAGTGAAAGAACAAAGTTTTGTGAGGTTGTGGGAATGTCTCCCATGTTAAAACAAAATTCTAATTCTCTAACTGCTTTCTTATAGGTAAAGGCTTTCTGTAATATGCTTTGAATCCACTGTAATCAGGAAGAAATTTGGATTCAATGGGACAAAGTCAGTAAAGGACACAAAAAGTAAATAAACAGCCATAAAGGAAACTATCCCCATGTTTGAAACAAAAACCCCTATATTTTGCATGGTGGTGTTGCCATAGCATGTTGCAGTGTGGTTTGTGTATTGTCTAAGCAGGTTGATCTATAAAACATTGTACATGATAACATTATACTTGGTAATTACATGACAATTCCATAGGAAGTTTCATATTAATAAAAGAGCCTATGTTAATGAAAGAGT